ATTCAACGTGAAGCTGTACGTTGTCTATTAACGAATTCAGCTCAAGTACGGCTTAAGCTGTATACGTTGACATTTATTTATCATTGGTCTTTAATATAATATGATTTTTCGGTCACTGTGGACAGCGCAGCTGTATTTCAGCTGTCCACCAAGCGTATCGATGCGAAAGACTGGTCAATATATAAAAATATAAGGTGTATGCACACGGGTATTTGACCATTCGAGGTACTATAGGTTCACTACACACAGACGCCCACCCACCCCGCCATCGTTTTGAGATTACACTTAAGATTGTATATGTCATGCTGGACTTTGTAATGTCACAATAATGTTAAAAAAAAGTATACTTTAAGGTTAATCAACGGTATTGATTAATGTTTATTTAATATGGAAATTTTCTTTGTTTTGTCTTTTTCAGAGTAGACCATTTTTTGTTGTCTTTTGATAACGTTGCAAGGATGGATGCTAAGTTTGAGTGAGTTTTGTGGTTCTGACTTTGAGGTAACACATTTGTGTGTATTAAGACATATTATTCCTTACAGTGCACTGGAATTACACGGAACCACAATTTTTGGAATGTTCGGATCGACGACATGGGACTTTTATATTAGCATATGTTATTATTGTTAAGTGCAGAGACACTCCTCACTAGTTTAAAGTGATTTTTTTTTTCAAGTGTCGTCGATGTGTATGAATGTATATTTATTTATTCGATAAATTAAAGTGAACCTGTAGTAGCCACTGCTATATTGTCTTTCTTATTTATATTTTATCCTTGTAGGATATTAATTATGGAGTTAAATGATAAATTATTTATGTTCGGTTGAATGAAATGAAAGAAAACATAAAAATAACGAATAAATTTCACATACGTCGGAGCTGTATACGTTGTCAATATACGAATACTTTTCACATACGGCGTAAGCTGTATACATTGTCAATTAGCGAATAACCGCCTCCGTGGTCGAGGGGTTAGAGTCGATGACTTCTGATCCAGTTACCTCTCTGGCGTGGGTTCGATCCCCGGGAGATGCTTTGGTAGTTTAGCGCGGAGGAAGGTAGTCTAGTACTGGTGTAACTCTCCAGGAACGATGGTTAAGAAACTACCCGCCTATATGACTGAAATACTGTTGGGAAAAGGCTTAAAATGAAACAAACAAACAAATAAAAATTAGCGAATACATCTCACATACGGTGTAAGTTGTAAACGGTGCAACAAACCATATACATATACATATATTATATGATCATATTGAGCTTACTTTTGTGAGTCAGTCAATATTCTAAAAGAAAACAGACGTTTTTCAATAAGCCCGTATATTTGTGTATAATCTTGTTATATATGATTGTTGTTGGTTTTTATTTTCGTTTTTGTGTCGCCTCTACGGAGTAGTGGCGACATATAGGGATCACTTCTCCGTCGTCTGTCTGTCTGTCCGTCTGTCCGTCCGTCACAAAACTTTCCGGACTACTCCTCATAAACTACTGGTGCAATTTCATCTAAACTTTACAGAAATGATCAGTACCTAGTCTAGTTGTGCATATTGTCAGCATTGTCCGGTTCAATGATTTTTGTCAGAGTTATGGCCCTTTAATAATTTTTATTTTTAAAGTTTGTTCGGACTACTTCTCTTATACCACTAATGCAATTTCTATGAAACTTTACAGGATTGATCTGTAGCTCAAGTCCTTGCGCATATTGCACGAGTTTTCCGGTTGAATGATTTTGGCCGAGTTATGGCCCTTTGATAAAAAAGTGTTGTTTTTTCTGTGTGTTGCCAAATACACAAAAGCTTGTCCGGACTCCTCCTCATAAACTACTGGTGCAATTTTATTCAAACTTTACAGGAATGATCAGTACTAAATCTAGTCGTGCATATTGTCAGCATTTTCCTGTTCAATGATTTTTCTTAGAGTTATGGCCCTTTAATAATTTTTATTTTTAAAGTTTGTCCGGACTACTTCTCTTAACAACTAAAGCAATTTCAATTAAACTTTACAGGATTGATCTGTAGCTCAAGTCCTTGCGCATATTGCACGAGATTTCCGGTTGAATGATTTTGGCCGAGTTATGGCCCTTTGATAAAAAGGTGTTTTTTCTGTGTGTTGCCAGATACACAAAAGCTTGTCCGGACTACTCCTCATAAACTACTGGTGCAATTTTATCCAAACTTTACAGGAATGATCAGTACCAAGTCAAGTTGTGCACTGTCCGTCTGTCTGTCCGTCTGTCACAAAACTTGTCCCAACATGAAATTGGCCATAATGAGGCGACACATGTGATCACTGATCGCTATTGTTTTTTATTTTCTCATTGAAATATGTTTGAACTTAAAAACTTAATTCCATTATAGTTGTTTTTTTCTATTTATTTACAGGAGATGAGAATTTTACAATTGGTTGAGTGCTGTTTGGATTAACAAGTGTGCGGAGATTGCCTAGCTTGTTGTGGTTAAAACAAAAGATGCACGAAAGTTTTCCGGGGTGAGGGTCTCCCATTATCAGTAAATCAGAAATTTTGTCATGTGATAGATAACACGTGCCCAATTTTAAAAGTCGTCAACACATCTATGTATCCTGACATGACATGATGCAATTTTTAATACGTGATGTGAACAAACAACACTACTAGTTTATCTTAGAAGTTTGTGACTAGAACAACATGTGATTTCTATTCTTTTCCATCGTGGTTTCAATGTGTTTAATTTATAATAGAAATAAATCAAACTTGTAAGAACAATAAAATGCACTCAATAATTGTTTATGTGGTTAATTATTTGTATTAATTATGGATACCTCAAACACTGGTTTACACCGTGGTATATGTATGGGAAAAACGCATTAATTGCGAAAGTGAAAGGCATGTTTCTGAAGCGTGCGGTAAACATATGCATAAATCAACAACAAAAAATAATAATGATACACTTAACGTTACATTTGATACGGACGCTGTATAAAAACATAGTTAACATATTTGTATTTAATTACAATACAAATGATGTTAGAAGCATTAAACGTTCTCAAATGGAAGATAAATCGGTCGTAACTTTCATTACGAACAATAATTCATGCACAGATTCCACGTGATTGAAAAATAGTCCGAATGCACTGAACAACAATAAAGAAAATCATACTCTAACTGATAAATATTCCTTACTGGGTGAAGTTTTATATCGCCAAATAAAATTTAAAAAAAAAACAACGTCACAACGTTGTCCGAGAAGATACATACAAATAATATGTAGGAACATTGTATATATTTACTTTGTTTTGAGGAAAATACGTATATACTGTATAGTTCTTAGTAACAAGCAAATATACAAGTTAGTTGATGGAAAATGTCTTGGCTTTCGTAATGAGTAAATGATAAAGTGTTTATCTAACTGCCAGAACTGGCGTTTTTAATTAGCATTAATAATAATAAAGATAAATTAATAAATAAATATATACAATACGGCGTTTTGATGATGTTTTAATGAATAATGGAATGGCAGTTGATTTTTTTTAAACAAACTGTCTAAAACATGGTATATTTGAACGTAAAGCATGAAGCATTTTATAACTGTCTTGTTACAAAGGTTTGATCTGACTTTAAAAACAAGAGTTGAAAGATATGGTTGTATATGTATATTTTTTAATCAAACCTGACTGACTCTTTGCTGGCAAAACACAGAGAGGCCTTTATCTACCGAGCGCCCGCTCGTATAGAAGGGTTTTCCGTCAGTTAGTTAAATATACAGACGCAAGCCAGGTTATTGAAAAAAATAACATCGTGCCTTTTTTGTTGTTCTTCTTCAGTTTTCTTTTTAGATATTTCACGTATAAAATGTGATATATCAAGGTAAGAACAATGATTCTAAAGCCTTTTATCCAATTATAAAGATGGGATTGTATTATTGCGCGCTATTTGATGTGGTAAATCGTGCATGTATTCAAATATGTACAATTAACGGGAAAAAAATAATTATAAGAAGTAAAATAATGTCGCTTCCATTCATCTTCATTTATCGTAGAAACTGAAGTTTTGTTTCAACATATTAATTTTTGCTAGGTTGCGAGCAAGTTCTTATAAATCATATTAATCCCTTTCGTGTCCGTTTCCTGGAACAAAACAGTACTGGTGCCTTCTGCAGAAACATGGTCGTGACCTGAGTAGGGCCGAAATAGATTGAGAAAAAGACTCCTTTACCACTAGTCAACCACTCCCAAGTATGTATGTATGTATGTATGTTTGTATGTGTGCGTGCGTGCATGCGTGTACGTGTGTGTGTGAGCGTGCGTGCGTGTTCTAGGCTTAATAATGGTCCCTTTCAGGCACTCAGAGTACGGACCACAGACATGTCACCATGCATTCATGTCCTTTAAGGTTATCATCTACCAAAAGATGACCTATAAATTTTGAATTTAGTATCTCTCTGTAGTAAACCATGAATTTCATACGTAAACAGAATGAAAAATTATGTAACAAACGTTCTACTCTTTAAATTAAGTAGGAGTTTCACGATGTACATGTGGCACTGACTACGGAAATATGCGAACGTATTTCTTTCATGAATATATTTAAGAAGTATTCTTTTTCAACATTCAAACAATAGTTTTTTGTAAAGGGAAAGAAGGCAGGTATTTAGCTGTTAACATTTTAACAGTTTGCCTTAGATGTACATTGAAGCCTTTTGTAAGCAATATCTGGTTGTCCTTTACTATACAGAAGAAAATATTAAAAATTAATTGTATTTTAAGATAAAAGTATTACCATTAATATAAGTAATTGAATATATTTCAAATTTTCAGAGAGGAATGGTGTATATGTGGACAAAGTACAGCTGTCATTTGAGAGTTATACACAGTAAATATTTTTAGATTCGTTGTAAAAATATAAGATGCATATGACATTTTTATTAATTCTTTTTTTATATTTCATGTTTTAATTACCGTACTTAATTATACCGCGACTACGTTAACAACCACTAGTTCATATTTTGACAGTTTTACGTTAAGTTAACGTTACGTTAAAACTGTGGCCTAACAAAATCGTGCTGATGGAATTACCATTTTAACTCTTCTTATCTGACGTAGCATGACGGACAAGACATTACAGAATGCGGGGCGGTGACGCTTAGGTGTCATTGGCGAAACGAGCGGTCGAATATTTGGAGCTTAATGCAGACATGAAAAAAACTATGATCTTAACTTGTGCATGAACGGATAAGCATCTTCTAAATAAATTATTGTGGGAGGTATATCATACTGATTTATATGTTTTATATTGTCATTAAATGGATGCAATGATTCGGAATTAAGTTAGTTTCTCTCTACCAGCGGATATTAACGGGAAAAAGTATATTTGACGATTTCTTTAATGGTTTGATTCGATTTAATTCAAACTTCAATAGATTTATTATTGTTACTTGAAATATATTTGAGACACTTAATACTAATTTATTAAAATACTTCTTTTTTATATATATTTGTAACCGTTGGATTATATCTTTTATTATTTCTCTTAGCATTATATACATTATATATCTTATATCTGTAGATTTACAAAAATAGATTTACCGACACAACCAACCATAATTTACGTTTAATTAACACGTTTATTGCTCCTTAATTTGTCTTTATTTTACAGCTATTATTATTTGGTAATCTTAATTATGTATAAATAAAAGCAAAGCCGCAATTGACGGTTTTCATTTACAGAAGCACTAGCGTTTTTATAAATATGCTTAATCAAACCGTACCTTATGCAATTTCATTTCTTTCATTTTACATGATTTTCATATTTTAATCATGTAATGCGATAAGACAATTATATCATAACGCGGACTTGGTTTGAAAGGTTTCTAACTCGTAAAGAAATAAAGAGTGAGAAACAACCATCTTGCCCCTATGTATCATTATAGGTATACCTTAAAACTCGTGACATCAAAAATGACACATATTGAGTGAAGGAAACATGCTGTTCGCTTACCAATCCTATTACAAGTAGAGAAACTGATAGCGAACAACAAGGATCCTGATCAGACTGCGCGGATGCGCAGGCTGGTCTGGATCCATGCTGGTCGCAAACCCATTATGTTGGTTTTGTCGTGACACGGTCCATATTATTAAGCGATCTGTTATATGATAAAAATGAAGATCTAAATACGAGGACCTTGTAGATACTTTCCGTTTAAGTTGACTTTACTCTCATCAGACGTGTCTCTGTAAAAACGAAATCAGCAATTACATGCATAACAAAAAACAAAATAGAAACAAAATATGATAATATACTGTATTCGTTTGACACATATCTAAATGTACTATAATTGAAAATTTTATAGTGAAATTTTGTAGTATTAAATATTGTCATTCGACTACAACAACTACCGTAAAAAACACAAAGACCAATTCATAATTACAAATGATTATAGAAACATTATTGTTGCTATATCAACCGTATATTCTCTTAATAGTCGCCTATTTTGACAATACTTAACTATTGTTTCATTCGAAATACGTCATTAAACATTACAAATACCATTGTTTATAGTTTAGATTTTTTAACACTCGCGTATAAGCAGCTATATAAGCTGTAGACGTGGTTGTTGAACCGAATGTATGTATCACCTTTACACATTGAATGAAAAACATCATTATTGTCACAAAATGTCACAAAATAACAACATTGCCATTTAATAAGCTTAACATTCTTCCCGTTTAATATATTCGTGAATGTTTTGTTTCATCATTCAGAATTATATGTTTTCATAATTGTAACGGTGTAAAACGGGCTAAAAATCTATTAATACTACGTAAGGACTTAATGATGATCCAACACTTCATTCTTATATTTTACAGATTGGTATCCAGACCAGACGCAAGAGCCATGAATATCATATACCTCCTTGTTTTTGTTATTATTTCATTGTCAAATGTCTACACACAAGGTAAGAGAACATTTACTATCAACTTCTTCTCATAGCCATAAATATGTAAACAAGTGTTATTTAGAATCAACGAACATTTGAATTAATGTTTACATTATTCAATGGATTTCACAAAACGTTTTTTTTTTATGTAAGTCTAGATCCATACACGGCATTAATAATCTTTTTGGTTAAATAAAGCAAATGTATAAAATAATTGACATTGTTTAATCAGTCATTATTGTTAATAACACTATTCATATACAGTAATTGCCAATAAATAGTCACCATCTGTAAAAAACAGACTCATATAAAGTTTCTGCCAGTCAATAGTCACCATCCGTAATAACCACAGTGATATAAAGTTAAAATCAATCAATCACAATATCTGTAAACCACATTCATATAAAGTTAAAATCAATCAATCACAATATCTGTAAACCACATTCATATAAAGTTAAAATCAATCAATTACAATATCTGTAATAACCACATTCATATAAAGTTATAATCAATCAATTACAATATCTGTAATAACCACATTCATATAAAGTTATAATCAATCAATCACAATATCTGTAAACCACATTCATATAAAGTTATAATCAATCAATTACAATATCTGTAATAACCACATTCATATAAAGTTATAATCAATCAATTACAATATCTGTAATAACCACATTCATAAACTGTTATTATCAATCAATCACAATATCTGTAATAACCACATTCATATAAAGTTATAATCAATCAATTACATTATTTGTAATAACCACATTCATATACAGTTATAATCAATCAATTACAATATCTGTAATAACCACATTCATATAAAGTTATAATCAATCAATTACATTATCTGTAATAACCACATTCATATAAAGTTATAATCAATCAATTACAATATCTGTAATAACCACATTCATATAAAGTTATAATCAATCAATTACAATATCTGTAATAACCACATTCATATACAGTTATAAGCAATCAATCATATTATCTGTAATAACCACATTCATATACTGTTATTATCAATCAATCACATTATCTGTAATAACCACATTCATAAACTGTTATTATCAATCAATCACAATATCTGTAATAACCACATTCATATATAGTTATTGCCAATAAATTGTCACTTTATGTAATAACCACATTCATATAAAGTTGTAATCAACCAATCTCAATATCTGTAATAACCACATTCATATACAGTTATAATCAATCAATCACATTATCTTTAATAACCACATTCATATACTGTTATTATCAATTAATTACAATATCTGTAATAACCACATTCATTTACAGTTATAATCAATCAATCACATTATCTGTAATAACCACATTCATATACTGTTATTATCAATTAATTACAATATCTGTAATAACCACATTCATTTACAGTTATAATCAATCAATCACATTATCTGTAATAACCACATTCATATACTGTTATTATCAATTAATTACAATATCTGTAATAACCACATTCATTTACAGTTATAATCAATCAATCACATTATCTGTAATAACCACATTCATTTACTGTTATAATCAATCAATCACATTATCTGTAATAACCACATTCATATAAAGTTGTAATCAATCAATCGCATTATTTGTAATAACCACATTCATATACTGTTATAATCAGTCAATCACATTATCTGTAATAACCACATTCATATATAGTTATTGCCAATAAATTGTCACTTTATGTAATAACCACATTCGTATACAGTTGTAATCAATCAATCACATTATTTGTAATAACCACATTCATATACTGTTATAATCAGTCAATCACATTATCTGTAATAACCACATTCATATATAGTTATTGCCAATAAATTGTCACTTTATGTAATAACCACATTCGTATACAGTTGTAATCAATCAATCACATTATTTGTAATAACCACATTAATATACAGTTATAATCAATCAATCACATTGTGTGTAAACCGCATTCATATACAGTTATAATCAATCAATCACATTATCTGTAAAAACCACATTCATATACAGTTATAATCAATTAGTCACATCATCTGAAATGACCATTTTCTTTTCAGTAATTGCCAATAAATCATCATCATCATAGATAACCACATTCATATACATTTATAACCAATCAATCATGGTCATCTGTCATGTATTGTAATTACCAATCAGTTACAGGCATCTGTATTAACAATTAAGCATGCATATGTTGTCACTACAAATTGTAATTACCATTTTTAGTATGTTATAGTTTTTTTCACACTTAAAGATTTAAGGTCTTAACTACAATGTTTGTACATAGTAACATTATTTTTATCATTCATATTTTATTATTTATTGTATGCGATTTTACTTGTTTATTCCTAATTACCTTTTATCTGGTAGAAAATAATATGAGCCGCGTCACGACAAAACCACCGTAATGCGTTCGCTTACAAACCATATTACAAGTAGAGAAACTGATAGCAAACAGCATGGATCCTGATCAGACTGCGCGGATGCGCAGGCTGGTCTTGATCCATGCTGGTCGCAAACACACTATGTTGGTTTTGTCGTGACGCGGCTCATATATAAATATATAACTTTGCAAACAGCGTGATAGTGCCAGTCCTTTTTATTTCAGTGTTTTAATTGTGAAGAAGTTTATGTGTATCAGTAATGGTAATCCATCTTTCAAGATATAGAAATAAAAGTTCATGCCTACAACATATGTTTGAAACAAATTTTAAAAATATCCTTTTATAAAAGTATCTTTGCACGAATGACCATTTGAAAACATGTAATTTTAATTATTATTAGTACGTGTGGTTGAGACTCTTCTAAACTAATATCGTGTCTATATTTTGAAAACATAAACAACAATAACAAAACAAACAACAACAATAAACAAAAAGAAAAAAGGAAAACGATATACATCAATTCGTTAATTAAAACGAAACGTTAATCTATACTCTGTGTAATAATTATATAAATATTCAATAATTGTCAATTCTCGCAGAAGCAATTATACTCTGCATTAACCATATAATCATCTTATTATACCCATGAAATATTGTCTATCAGTCAAATTCAAATATAAACAATATCATGTTTGTGAACCCCCACCCCACTCCAAAAAATAAATAAAGCTATAAAGTTAATTTTAATTTCATTTCATACTTTTATTTGCGAAGATTCAATATTTATTTAAAGATGAGAATGGATTAAACAGGCTGTGTTAGATTGCTGTTAATAGGTTATATAATTTATCGAATGGTATAATATTAATTGATTTTAGGTGCGGTTTCCGTTGATGAGTGTTATAACGTTGAATGACATTAATCACGCGGATGCAATACTGAAACAAATATATGTATGGAGTTAAAACAAGATAGTGTGCTTTAACTCTTAAATAAGTTAAAGGTCAATTGAGGCTGCGGTTTCCTTATATTTCTTGATTCCATTGACAGGTTTTATGCCTCAACAGACATCTTTAAAATCCCAACACCTTTATTAGGCCAACCGTATTCCTATACAAGTATAAATATGTCTAAAATATGTGTAAACTATGTTAAGATTTCAGCCGTTTGTCATTTATTACATAAAACATTCAGCTGTAATAAAAAATACAAAGATGAACTTGTATTCCATATATCAAATTGAAATTGATGTTATCAATATAACGCCGTCAAGTCATATAATTTTTCAGAGGTTGAAGTACGGATTGAGTGTGATTTACTGAACCAATTGTTTTAAAGGTTGATTTATGCCCCACATTGACGTTTAATGGTGGGTTCATACAAAGCGTTAGTTGATGCGGCCTTTTTAATCAGTCTTGTCTATATCTGTGTATAACTGTTTAGTTACTGTAAAATATGATGTCATTTCTAATCTATCATATCATTTTTGTTTTTCATTATTTGCAATAAAACGATAATTTTGAAAATACAGCATACTTCATTAATGTGACTATCTATATTGAAGATTCAAGTTGAGTTTTATTGACCTGCAGTAAAAAACAGTTGAATGCTTATTTGTGCTCGCATGTGCGTTTAAGCGGGTATTATTGGCGATAATTTGTTTACAATTATACCTGTATGGTAGGTCTATGCTACAAAAATTGGATTTAATGATATCGAAAATATAAAATGATTGTGCTTATATATAAGAAAATGAAATGTGTGCTATATTTGCTTCTTTAGTGATTTCAAAACTTGTCTTAAAACTTGCAAGGTACTCTCTCTATAACAATAAAAGGGGCTGTTGACGGTAACATGTTTGCTCAAATACATACCTGGAACAAAGTTAATTCACTTCAACATGCTACAGCTTTACATCTTCATGCTAGCCAGTAGTTGAAGAGAATCTTTAATATAAAACCCACAACAGTCTCGTTCAAATTGGAATAAAGGCAGTTTAGTTATAAAGTTCTTGCTTTGAATATTAATTTTTGCATTAAAATATACTTTATTACCTCAGATTATTTCAGGTGTCTTTTATGAAAGACTTCAACCGAAATAAAATTAGGTTGACAAAGATACTTTTTTGAAATGATGCCTCAAAAACTCGCAGAATGGGACAGACAGACATTTTAATTACTTTGCCTTAATAAACGTTAATGTGTTCCATTGTCTTAAGCAAAGTATTTAATTAGCACACTTCACAATCTTATAATTACAACTCAGTATGGTTAATAGTTTGTATTGTTTTAAGTGTTACTAGATTTCATAAATTATTAATAAAACGTCTTGCCCAACCTTTACCCTGCTGTCGGCAACAAAATTTAATCAGGTCACATGTGCAGATGATTACATGTACATTTCATCGTCTGCACTGTCAACTATTCAGTCAGTATTTGTTAAAGAGTGTTGGTCTCGTACAGATTTAAAAAAAAAATAGACAAGTTTAAGTATTTAACTAGCTTTTAAAATGCAAACGTATTTCAATGAAAATACTTCAAGAATGCACGTGGATACAGTGGTCGAGAACAAAAACAAATTTTAATTCATACAACGACAAACTGTGTT